AACTTGAATTTTAGTTAATTATCTTTATGTTCTATTAGCAGAAAGAGGATGTAGTTTTCCTCTAAGATGTTCAAGTTGAGTGGTTGTGGTAGTTCTATAGGTAAAAGGTCGAAAACTTTGATCCCTCGAGCTGCATTAGTTGACTGACTCAGTCCCACAAGGGTAAACGGTAGGCTAATTCAATGTTAGATCACCTAATTGTCTAACACTTTCGGTTGACTTGGGGAATTTTCCAACATCGTGTGCTAGTGAACAAAGAACTTCAAAATTCGACCGTATTTCTCTTTTAGATAGGAATCAGTGTGATTATATCTTATATTGTACATTGGATTTATTTTTTGCGGTTGAGGTGAAGGACGGTAAATGCAAGATTATCTTTTGTCTTTCCTTTTCGTGACAAATAGTATGTGTTTATGGTCGCCAGATCGTGGGCTTTTGCATTTGTTTCCATTTGTTTATGCATGATATGTAGCTCTTTGTTTTGTTCACTGTGTTACTCGTTGCACATTACCAACATGGATCGGATATAACAATTGTATATGTTCTCCATTCGAGCAATTGACACATTGACGTTGCTTCCATAATATTTTTCCCTTTTCGTGTCTATGATTAGCCTGAGAAGGCCTTACGAATGCTGCAGCTAGTCTCGACCAATTCATGATGCTGGCGCCTCTTTTTAATAAACTTCGCTCCATAAAAACAATATTTAGCTTGTTTGATAATCTGTGTAATATGACCTCTGATAATCCTTGACATTTGATTGTCCTCTGATTGCTTTTCTACTTTAGATAAATTTTTGGGTAGCACATCATGAGTTGTTTCGGTTGTTGTGAGGAGGATGACATGCACAAAGCTGCCGGTAATGGGCCGTACACTACAACTAATGCTGCAGGTTAGTTTTCAAATCTCAAATTCAAGGTTTGATTATAAAAATCTGTTTCCAGTTTACTTCCTAACCTACGGAATTGATGGGAGAATCTTTACCAAATATGAATTATAGAAGCTGATATAAATCCTTTGGCATCAGTTTCAAAACCGAAAGCAAAACATGAATAGATAGAAGCCCTTAACTACTGTGTAAATCAAATAGAGAAAGTAGTCAAGATTATGTTTTGTTTATTTATCAATTGTTAAATTGAATGAGCGCTTAATTGATACAACTAAAGATCCAACATTCCTTCCCCATGGTGTTGCCATTGATGAATCGTATGCCTTTCTTTTGTTGCTATCAAACTAAGAAAAAAAAAATTCTTGTGTAGGCAATCATGCAGGCTATCACGCAAAAGAAACAGAACATAAGGAGAAACAGACTATCAGCATGCAGCCGATTGCTGTGCCTGCCGTTCCAGTAGACGAGTTGAAGGACATTACTGATAATTTTGGGTCAAATTCGTTAATTGGCGAGGGGTCTTATGGAAGGGTTTACCATGGAGTATTGAAAAGTGGGATTGCTGCAGCAGTTAAAAAGCTCGACTCCAGCAAACAGCCAGACCAAGAATTTCTAGCACAGGTTTTGACCGTTGCACATGAATAAGCTTTCAGCTTCTGGATGAGCTTTCACTAAGACATGTTTATATTGTTTGTTATTGTGGTTTTTCAGGTCTCAATGGTATCAAGGCTAAAGCATGAGAATGTGGTTGGGCTGCTTGGTTACTGTGTCGATGGTGGGCTTCGGGTCCTTGCATACGAGTATGCTCCTAATGGGTCTCTACATGACATCCTTCATGGTGAGTTGGGCGTAATTATTTTACAGAATCTAATGTGATGTTTTAATTATTCTGCAGCGTAATATGTATTTTTTTTTCATTTAGTTAATTGGTCATGATCTTTTAAATTTGTAAAGATTATATTATTCATTATATTTTACGCCATTTATATATTTTTTCATATATAAGTAAAATAGTATATATTGTTCATTTTTGTTAATGATCAACTTTCTAAAATGTGATATGTACACGTATATTTTATGATTATAAATATAATATTCATACATATAATTTATTTTTTATTTGCATATATGCATGTACACAAGAATAACTACTAGTTTTCATAAGTTAACAGCATTTAATGATGGCTGCAAATAAATCAACGTCTATGCTAGCTTGGGCGAAAGGAGTAAATTACCCCGTTTCATTCACACAAGTATTGAGCTCACGTACATCTAATTAACCTTCGATTTACTCCGTATTATTCATTCGGTATTTTTCAGAAATTATTATTATTATTATTATTATTATTATTATTATTATTATTATTATTATTATTATTATTATTATTATTATTATTATTATTATTATTATTGGTTCTGTAAATGGTTTATCTTGTGTAATATGCCTTTGAGTACAATACACGTGCGACGGAACACAACTTTCATTGTATCCATGTATTGTAGCTTCCTGTTATTTATCACATTTCAGTTATTGTTAATCCCATTTAGTATGAAACTAATTTTAGCTGTTAATATTAGGACGCAAAGGAGTCAAAGGTGCACAACCGGGTCCCGTCTTGTCATGGTCTCAGAGAGTTAAAATTGCTGTTGGGGCTGCTAGAGGACTCGAATACTTGCACGAGAAGGCACAGCCACATATCATTCACCGTGACATCAAATCGAGCAATGTTTTACTCTTTGATGATGATGTTGCTAAGATTGCAGATTTTGATTTGTCCAATCAAGCTCCTGACATGGCGGCTCGTCTTCATTCCACTCGTGTTCTCGGAACTTTTGGTTATCATGCCCCTGAGTAATGCTCTTTTTTTCCCCTTTTTTCCTTTTTCTGCATTTAACAAATCAGCGAGAATAAATAATCAACCGAATGTTTAAATTATGATGCTAGATATGCAATGACCGGCCAGCTAAGCTCAAAGAGTGATGTGTATAGCTTTGGAGTCGTACTTCTTGAACTCTTGACCGGCCGTAAGCCAGTTGACCATACACTTCCTAGGGGACAACAGAGTCTTGTGACATGGGTAACGAACGCCATTTTCTTTAACTCCTTTTTTCATCTTTTTTTTTTTCATTTAATATATTGTTTTCTGAATGTAGAGAAACTTTCGTGCTTAAATTCCCTTTACATGTAAATCAGGCCACGCCAAAGCTAAGCGAAGACAAGGTTAAGCAGTGTGTCGATGCTAGGCTCGATGGAGAATACCCTCCCAAGGCAGTTGCTAAGGTGAAAACCCAAGTTACACTAAAATCTTGCATAGGAAAAAAAAATGACATTAAATAACTAATCCTTGTTATTCAACTGAAAATGGTAAAACAAAAGGCAAACAGAGTGCATTATTATTGATCGTTTGACAAATCTCATTCTTGCACCGTGAATATTATTAACTTCAATTTGCTTAAAAAAAATTACAGATGGCTGCAGTTGCTGCTTTGTGTGTGCAATACGAAGCCGAATTTCGACCAAACATGAGCATTGTAGTAAAAGCTCTACAGCCTCTGTTGAATACTCGATCGGGACCTCCTACCGAAACACACAACTTGTGATTTCTCTTTACTATATCGTTAAACCTGAAATTTGTTTCCGCGAAATTCGTGTGGTTTCTTAGAGTTTGTAATTTTTTGGTGGTTTTGTGCTTATTTAATTCCCACCAATGTGGTGTTGTTGGAGATATTTATGAACAACTTTTGGAACTTATGATGCAAAGTAGAACACTATTGAGTGTAAAGATACTGCTGCCATTGAGCATTCTTTTGTGAAAAAAATGAGCCTTGTTGGATTTGTGTAGAAATTCTTTTTGAATTGCCTGTGTGAAGTGTTTTTTCATGTCAAGTAGAACTAGTTGGATTACGGCTGTGCACGCACAGCCGGCCCAATTTAGTCGAATATCAAATGAATATTTTATGCACTATAAAGCAAACACTTGATATATAAAAAAGAAATCATACTTGAAGACATCATTCTTCAATCACATGACAGCAATAATGCTCAATATATCGCAAAAAAGTGAAAAACAGTAAATGATGTATATGGATAATGGCTTAGAGAACACACGTGAACCTTCATCGACATCAAGAGCTCCAGGATGTCCTTGCAGAAGCTGAGGACAGCCACAAGCGTGACCTCACTTGGGCAGACCTCCTCTTAGGCCATCTGGGAAAACAGGCAGCTCCTTCATAGAGTGGGCCTAATGAGTTGACCACCCTCCCTGTTGAGCATTTGCTCGAAGAAGTTCGGTGTTGAGTAGGGAGCTGTATTTTTTAAACTTTAAATGACCCGGTTGGAGAGAAATGATGGTGGATGGTTGAGATTGAAGGTGACGAGGTGGCACTCGAGCTTTTGGGTCATGCTGATGGTGTTCTCCAAGGCGTAGCTCCTAGGAGGGTGTAGAGAGAAAAAGGGAAGGGCACGACAGAGTGACATGAACTGAGAGTTTACAAATTGGACGAGTACCTGCCGATAAAGAGATAGAACTTGATGGCATTAGTTTTTCGAGCAAAAGCAGGGGTTTTATGCTATTTCATTTTAAAAGCATACAACCTTGAATCCACGTCGTCTAGGGTTTCGACTCTCACATTTGGGATGTCATCCTGTGAATCAGCGTACTCTACTTCTTGTTACTACCACTTGCCATCGCTGAACTTCACAATCAGAAAGTTCAAGAACTTCGTGGCTTTGCAAACCGCCCATGGTGGTGGCGCGGTGGTGATCCGACAAAACAAAAGAAAACTCGGATATCCTGCAAATTCATTGTCAATGCTTGATAAACTTGAACTTCTCAGACCCTTCTCTCCAATCATGCTCAATATCAGCTATGCATAATCGAAACATGTTGTAATCTGTCAAGTACCTGATATTGCATGCGAATGGTTAAGCTCCAATACTAACGTTCCCAGCTCTAACTTTAGTGCTCTAGGATCAAGGATAATTATAATCTACCCACTTTATAAGTTTTAACATAAAACAAAAAAGAGTATAAAAGAAAAGTTTTACCAATAAATCATATTCCGGCGACACGAATAGAGTCCAAGTTAAAATTAAAGCAGTGGCCCTCCAGCTGTTAATTCAATCGTACAAAAAGTTTAGTATACCAAGAAAAAGCAAAGTAACATATAGTATACCAAGAAAAAGCAAAGTAACATGAATATGGATGTGTCTTGTGGGCAAATCAAAAGTGTACTTGTAAGCATACGGTAAAAAAAACTAAACAGAATATCAGTCACTTTAGTCCTTTAATGTAAACATCAATCAATCTTAATTGAGCATGGAATCTCAATTTACATATATACAAGCGTCATACAAAAGTTATAACTATCTATCTCGGAACATAGGCAAGTGATTTTCACGGCAAGGCTTGACATATATAAACTCAAAAAACAAATAATGCAAATGGATTCTTATTACGTGTCATTTCTCTAAATTCGATCACAAAATAATCTAAAGCCAGTTAGCTTGAAATCCAAGTACTATTATTTGGGATTTTTGTAAGCTTCACAAACCAGTATCTGGTTCCACATTTACCAAAAAAAAAATGACTAGACTGGCTATGTTATAATGACATAATAAAGGCGAAAAAACTGGATAAACCCAACAAGGGGTGGGCACATCACCAAATATGTGAACTGATACAGTTGATATCGCCATAGATAATGGTCTAAGACTGGGCTTCACACGGTTCATGCAAACAAAATTAATTGGAGCCTACAATGTCGCATACATAATTTCAATAAGCAATGGTGAATTCAGAATATATTTGTCAAAGCGAAATACATATGCTATAGATCAAAATATTGATTGGAGAAAAATGCAAACAAGTTTAAGGATAAAGGAAATAACAAGCATAGCCACAGGCCCACAACCAAAAAAGTTATTAAGTATTTTCGGCAAACTTCAAGCTTGTCATTTTAAGAAAGGAATACAAAATTAATGCTTAGTTCTTACTCAATACAATAACTTTTTATCTCATCAATTGGTATCTTGCAACAGTTTATTTATGACCAAGCAAATTTCAAGTTCAATGAATAAAAAGTCAAAACAAACAAGTGCAAAGGTAGTTCACATGTCGCTTTGAAGAGTATATAGCACAACATTTAGCACAATATAAGTTGTAAAATGGTAAAGTAAAAAGTGTAGAACACATACAAATTCGAATATTCTTTTTCCTTTTGAACAAGCCATTTATAATGCAAGTTTGGAGTTGGGAAATCTCACAAAACCATGTCAGGTCCACAGTTTCATAATCAAAGTCCTGAATTTGTACGTATTAGTTGTCCAACAGTGTCAGAAAACAAACATCTAGGAAATAGGGGTACCTGAGCAGCAAACACAAGCAGCTCCCCTATTGCGAAAAGAGCAAAAAATGCATTTGTCTCTTGAAGGAAAATGCAGCAAAGCAAAACACAGCTCCTGAAAATGTTGCAAGTGATAGAAGTTGTGGATCAAAATATGAAGAAAGTTAGCAGATTAAAACCATTTATATAAAATAAATGAAACATATTCAACAGTGCGGGTTATTTTTTGCAAAAATACCTGTGAGCACAGGAGAATAATTTATAAATAAATATTTCTGATACAAATTTCATAAACTTGTTAGAATCTGCATGATGTCATTATGTCAAGAACCCAGAACAAAGAAGACGATATGTAGATGAATTATACAACTCACTCCAGCGATGCTATAGCCCCATGAGTATATCCCCATTACCATCGCCGCCTGATCTGTTGTTCCCCACGGTCCTGTCGTTGTTCCCGCCATGTAATCCCGAGATGCCAACTTGTCCCTTAGTTGGCAAATAGATTAGAAATCGATTCTTATGAAAAAAAAACTGATATGTGGCCTTTGATAATTTATCAAATAAGCCCTGCGAATGAACAATCTAAGTAAAATATAACCAATCATGTAACTAATCACAGTTTCCTCAGTATCATCTTTAGCCCCATTTTTATATTGTTCAAAACGTAAATGACTACATATTTATAATTCAACTAAGACTGCAAATTCGCCATAGATATCCCTCCACATTATGTATTAACAAACGAAATTCGAAAGCCTTAGCATTTTATCTGATTTTTTCATTTACTACATTTTTTTCTATAACATCAAGTAATTACAATTTTTATTGATAAGCTCAAAAGAATATCTCAGGAAAAAATACGCATACCTAAAAAGAGGGAAATGAAAAAGAAAATTATACTGAACAAAACTTACCGATGAAACAGACAGTCACTCCTCTCTCAGTCACGAAGCCGCCTCCGAATCCACCATGTTCCAGTGGACTTCGTCGACCGTCCGACGCAGTGCCGCTCACTGCTCGCTATCGTCGGGCCACCGCAAATCTATGATGCCACCCCCATCACTGAGTCGTTGACCGCCGCACCGTGTAGTCGCTCAACAGCTATCCGTCTGAATCTGTCAATTGTCGCCGCTCATGAGTGCGGTTCGTTGATCTCAGTCGCCGAAACCCTTGTTTGGGTCTTTCGGTTAAGAGAAGAAACAATTAAAAGAGATGATGGAAAAAGGTTTGTCTCCATTGAGAGCATGGTGCTAGCGGCGAGTTGAGAATATTACGTTTGGGTACAATTTGGAAAATGAAGAGCTCATCTTTCGTTCCTTTTTATCTGTTATAATTGCCTGGAGGCGCTAATCATGGAATCAGAGATTCGAACGCGGCTGGGAATGTTGTCGAGACTCAGTAAAATGGTAAATTGTGAGAGCTTTAGGGCATGGCCTTCCTCGCTAAGAAAAGAGAAAAATTGAAGGATTTCAGAGAAAGAAAAAGGAGACAAGTGTAAGAAAGGCGTGTGAAGAAAGCCAAAGCTGTCAATCTATCAGAAGACAATGACTATACTAACCAGACATTAAAACAGTAAAGGAAGGGCAAGTTAGTCAATTAAAAAAACGAGAGCCAAAACGACGACGTTTTTCGGTGTCCAATAAAAGAAATGAATTCATCAAACTTTCATACGGAAAACAGAGGAAATTCACTACAGATTTTGAAGGGTGCCACCTGTCAAATGCAAGAAGCGCCACGTGTCAGGCACACAATGCCTCACATTTTTGCTTATAAGAATAAGAGAGATATTTCACTTTTTCAGCATTATTATGGATAATTTTTTTTAACTAGATTTGCCACTGAAAAAATTGTTTTTTTGGAGAAAATTACTATTCATCTACTTGAATTTTTTTTCTCTGCAATTTTATCAAACATATCAAACACAATTATAACGTTATTTAAATAAAGTTTATTAATCCTCCTTTCATTCATATATTTTTAATTATATATTATTTTTATTCATTATTTTGTTATAAACAAGTGGAATTTAACCACTAGTAACATTATCACTTTATCCTATCATAATGTATAGAAATGTGTGAATGTATAGAAGTTTGTGAGTGCATAAAAATGTGTGAATCGATAATGCATGTACGGAAAAGAAGAAAGAAAAGCAAGATTATAATTTATATCCGGTTTTTATATTGTGTTCTTTATCTTCCCCGTATTTTATAACACGTTATCAGCACGAGCGCTCTACCTGATCAAGAAGGTAGGAATATAATAATATATATATGTATTACATAAAATTAGTATATTTTACTAATATACATATTACCATTATTCTTGACAAGTTAGGCTCTGCCACAGTCACGGATATGTGGTATGAATATACTAAATATGACACTATTTACACATTACCATTATTATTGGCAAGTAAGGCTATGCCATAGTCAATAATATGTGGTAAGATGATATTATTAAATTTGCTAAATAATTACTACTAATTATGAAAAATAACTTCAAGTTATAATAAATAAAATTATTACTTATACTTAACACCCACAAAATGGTTTACCCAGTAATGTGGCGTAAAATTTATAACTGCTTATTCCTGTACCCACCGAAAGATTTATCGAGTAGTGTGGAGTGACATTTTTTT